GGCACGGTGCGGGGCAGTGGGGCCTCGGGTGGGAAGCTGGCGGCTGGGGTCTTGCGAACCGGAGGCGCCGGGACAGTCTGCCTGCCTCTCTGGAAAGGAGGGGGCGGCCCAGATAAATCCCCCTCCGCAGGCCGTGGGGCGGACTCACCTCATCACCTCCCCCATCTGCCACGGAGCGGGGAGCCCCTAGTGGCAGGAAGCCCCATGGGGGAGTCAGCAGTAGCGCCCCCGCCCCCCAGCCGTGGGCAGAGGCCAAATACGGCCGGACGGGCTGGCGGTCCCGCCCCGCGGCGCGCATTCTCAGGCCTTGTAAGGCGGGGATCGGCGCCCCGGCCCCAGCCCAGCCCTGCCCCTCGGCCCGGGCTGCCCTCGGCTCCGCACCAGCTCCACGCACCGACCGAAAGAGTGCCTTCCCCGCGCCAGGTGGGTGCCGCCCGGTGGTCCAGGGAGGCGGCCTGACGGCGGGGCTGGAACTTGGGGCGGCCCCTGGGCCGGGATGCCCGAGAGTCTCTGGGCGGGGACTTCGGGCCGCGAGGTGGCTCGGGTCCGACAGGGGTTCTGGCGGGGGTCGGGCAGCAGGGGACTGTTCTGAGTTCTGGGAACCAGTGGTCCTTTGGCAAAGGAAGACTGTCGGCCCGGCCCTTTGCTGTGGAGGTAGTCGCCAAGCCCAGCGCTGCGGGGTGCCCGGGGGTAGGGGAGGGAATTGTGGTCGCAGGTGTTCCCTGTCCCAGCAGACCCATGTGTGTCCCAGACGGGAAACAGCCCTGTCAGGCTCCTTGAGACCCCTCCAGAGCATCCTTGTCCTGGGGCAGGAGGGAGGGATGGATGGGGTAACCCCACCCCATAGGCACCAAAGCTGTGTGCCATGCATCTGGGCTTCTGGGCTCTGGGCCATCTGCCCATTTGTGCCTGTTGGGTGGGGAAGGCCTGCCAAGAGCCCTGTGGGCTCACCCCTAGGGGGGGAGCTCAGCCCTGGGGGCTGGACAAGAGACTTGGGTCCTGCTCTTCCCCAGCCATCCAGCTACTCTGGCTGCTCTTAGTCACATAACTCAGCCTCAGATGCGGTGAGTTGAGGAGCAAGGCATCTGGCACTGCCAGCCACAGGGACCATGAGGTAATGGGGGACACAGGCCTTATCTTTGCCGTTATGGGGGGAAGGTGGCATCTAGTTACAGCTTGGCCAAGTAATAACTACATCTGATCCCTAGTGTCCAGGATCCCCAGTCAGGGCAGGTGATGGCTCCAGGGCTAGGGGCCCAGCCTGTCTCTGACCCCAGTCCCTCAACCAAGCCTAGAAATTGTCTCTGGTCACACAGAGCCCTCAGCTGCCGCAGACCCGCCATGAGCCTCTTAGGGTATATGTTTCCTTTGCGATTCAGGCCTGGAGGGCACCAAGGACCATTTGCCACCCACTGATCCAAGCCCAGTCCTGGGGTCCTGGCTTCCTATTTGACTCCACCCCTCTCATGGGCACTCCACTTCCCTTAAGTCTCAGTTCTTTTAACTGCACAGTGGGGCTCCGCACCTTCCCTACCTACCCTGCTTCCCAAGAGTTTTAGAATGGACAAACTGTAAAGTTCCATGCTCTGAGCTTTGAAAGCAGAGTGGCCCATCAGAGCAGTGGCCACTCCTTCCTCTGGCCATGGCTTTCTCCTCCTGGCCATGTCTGCTCTAGAGCTTTGCAGACACAAGTGGTGATGACCATCACAGCCTCTGTTGGGTGCAACGGACTTCTCCTTGGCTGCCTTCTGTAGGTGTCATCAGTCAAAATTCCCAGAAGAACACTAGGCTCAGGGAAGGACTGGGCCCCTAAAAGCACTAAACCACAGGAGAGGATGGTACTCCCTGCCTCTGGCACCATGCCACTCATGGGTGTGAAGGGCTTTTGTCTACCTTCCCCCAGAGCATGTGAAGGCCAGGTGTGTTGGCCAAGTGGGACACAGCAGCCAGTGTCTCATGACTAGAGGCAGCTGTGGTCTCTGGGGAAGGACTGGGGCTGGCGAGGGTCCCAACTCAGGATGTAAGATCTCAAAGGCCAAACCCTGAGAATGACTTGAACATGATCATAGGACAGAGATCAGAGACAGCTTGAGGAGNGTCTGGAGACAGCTTGAGGAGCACTCACAACCACATGATTTGGGGTAAAAAGAAAAGCAGAGAAGGCTTTCTGGAGGCTCTGGATCAAGGGGCTCAGCACAGAGGAAAGAGGGGGCAGCAGCCTGGGCCTTGGCCAGGCCCAAAACAGCCCCAGCTGAGGGGCACACAAGCACTCTGTCTTTAGGGGCAGTCCCCATAAGCCATACAAGGGTTCAGGGAAAAAGCCCCTTGCTGGGCCTTAGTTTCCCCATCTGTACAGTGGAAGCAGTAAACCAGCCACAGTTGCCCTCATAGTCATTCAATAAACAAGCATCTCTTGGCCTCACTGTGGGCTTTGGTGTGCATCCGGATTTATGGCAGCCAGACTGACTGAGGAAGAGACCTTTATGTGCTGATTGTCAGAGCAGAGGTGGGAAATTGCTCCCCAAGGGTGTCTCAAGACCTGGGCTGGAGAAGGAAGCACATCCCAGGGGGAAGGAACAAGAAGGAAAGTCTGGGGGTATCTAGGGTACAGCTAAAGGTCTAGCTGAGCAGGATCACAGACAGCAGGAGGGACACAGTGTGGGCTCCCGTGGTCAACCAGAGAGAAGGGCCTTAAATACCAGGCTGAGAGGCCCAGACTTGCTCTAGGTGGTGGCAGGAACCTTGGAGGGCTTCAAGGTGAAGTGACAGGTGCTGGTCTCAGTTTGTATGAATGGGAGAGACTAGCTAGAGGCTAAAAGACCAGGTCTAAACAAGGGTGACAAGAAGCTGGGGTTCTCAGCCTGGGGGAGCCTCATGCCCCTATAAGCACTGAGAAATGAGAACAAGGAGTGGGGCCCAAATCAGTCTGTCACCCACCTAGGAGCTGGTCCAGTGTGGGCAGCTGTGGGGAGGGGAACCCGCCAGAGCACTGGCCTTTCAAAACCTCCAGAGCCGGAAGCACAGTGGGATGGGGAGGAGGAGAGAGGAAGAGGAATGTCAGGAATTCAGGGCCACAGATCCAGCTCCTTCCTGCTGAGGATGGCAGGGAGCCCCACCTTGTCACTTGAGAGATGGACAGGGTGTAAATGCTATTAAGGATTAAAGGAGATAAGCACAAAAATGGTTGGCGTGGAACCCAATCCTAAGCGTTTTACCCAGTCACAGTAAAAATAGCGTACTCCAGCCTGGCACCATTCCAGGCACCATTCTCGGGCACTAAGCCAGTTAATTGCTCTTGCTGGGCCCTCCTCATGTCCCCAGTGCCAGATGAGGAAACTCACTCACAGGCAGAGGAGGTTGTTTAAGGGCCTTGCATGTCTGCTTTGGGATGAGCTGAGTGGCAAGAGCCCCAAGCCTGTGGGAGGCCTTGGATGCCAGGCCCCCACTGGCAGCCGGTCTGGCCCAGGGTCACAGGCTCTCCCTCCACATGCACTTCCTGCAGGGAAGCCCCACCCACCTGAAGCCAAGATGTCCAGCAAGAGGGCCAAGGCCAAGACCACCAAGAAGCGCCCACAGCGGGCCACATCCAATGTCTTTGCGATGTTTGACCAGTCCCAGATCCAGGAGTTTAAAGAGGCCTTCAACATGATCGACCAGAACCGAGATGGCTTCATTGACAAGGAGGACTTGCATGACATGCTGGCATCACTGGGTGAGCAGGGATGGGGGGGCTGTCTAAGTGGGCCTGGGAAGGGAGTAGGCTATGGGTCTGCTCATCACTATGGAGCATTTCCTGTGTAGTCACATGTGGTACCCACCCTGGAGAGTAGATGCCATTACTTTCTCCACTTAACAGATAGGGAAACTGAGGCACAGCAGTTTGGCGCTGGATATGAACCCAGACAGGCTCACTCCAGGGCAGAACTGCCTCAGGGAGATGTGTGGATTGGGCTGCCTGGTGCCATTTCATTTAAAGAAAGGGGTCAGCAACTAGAAGAAAATCTCAACTGCACAGACATTCTATTGTATGGATAGGGAAACTGAGGCCTAGAGGGGAGACCAGAGCACCTCTCTGCTCCTTCAGAGGTCACCCGTGCCAGGCTCTCAGAGCCTCTCTGACTCCAGTGACTTCCCCAGAATCAGAATCTTAGAGCTGAAAGGGCTCAGAAATCTAATACAATTCCCACTGCTCAGATAGGGAAACTGAGGTCCAGGGGCCAGGCCTCCAGACACCACCACCCTAGCCTGTGGCCCTGCCCCACAGCCCTCCTCACGTGCAGTCCAGTTCCTGGTGCCCCCTTTATCCAAGTGGGAACATCTCCCAAAGCTCTAGGGCCACATAGGCCTGTGTCATTCCCTGGCACTGCCCCTCACAGCTGGGTAGCCCCACTTGGTACCTGGGGCCCTCATGCACTCCCAAGGGGTCTGATGGGAAGACTGGGCAACCCTGAGTAGGAGGGCTGACATCAGACACATCCCACCCTGGGTGCCAAACCTCTCCCAGCTTCCAGCCAGACTCACTTGAAGGTTCCCCCCACCCAAGGAAGTCACGAGGGCAGAGAGGAGGACTGAGGCCTGATGAGGGGAGGGGCTTGTGGGTCCTGATGTCACAGCTCCTTCCAGGCCTCAGCCATCTGTGGGGACATAGCAGGGTGAGTGAGGCTCAGATGAGGCAGGGACACAAAGATTCCTTCCCATTTATGCAGCAGCACCCCACACCCAGGGCCCTAAACCCCAGAGACTTGATGACAGCCCCGGGTGTCTACACAGAAAAACCCCACTCCTGTTTGTAGCTCAGGTCAGTGAATCCACTGATCAGTCATGACTTCTGGTTAAGAACATCACCCTCAGGTTAAAAAACAAGAGCAGCAAATAAAATAACAAGAAGCTCTGCAGGCATTAAATCTTAAATCTTTGCAATCTTAAATCTCATGGCAATTCTATTGGGTGGATGTGACTATCATTCCCACTTTACAAATGAGGAAACAGAAACCCAGAGAGGTTAAGTAATTTGCCCAAGGTCACACAGCTCCTAAGTGGTAGAGCTAGGATTTGAACTCAGCAGTTGATATGAGTCCATAGGGCTGTGCTAATCATTATGTGCATTTTACAACCATTGCCTTCATCATCTTCATAACTCTCCTAAGAGACAGGGGAAACTGAGGCATAGAGCCTATGTGAAACCAAACCTCACTGTTTTAACCACTTTTGAAACTACGTGGAATCCAGGGTCTAGCTGCCTAGGTTTGAATAACGGTTTCACTCTTTACTTGCATGTGACCAAAGTCACCTCACCTTTGTGCCTCAGTCCACACCTGTGAAGTGGGTACAAGAATACCGACCTCGCAGGGTGATGCCAAGTTAAATGCAATAAGGCAGGTGAAGCATTAGACGCAGTGAGCAGTCAGCAAACAGTGGCTCTTCCATGTTCAAGAGCACTTCCCATCTCTGATATCCAGCCCAGTGGAGGAGACTCATCAAGGCCCCCAGGAGAACCCCAGGGAGGGAGCAGCCAGCCAGCTGGCTGCCCAGCAAGATGCTTGACAGTTTATAAAACTTCCTACCACCTGTCTGTAGGACCTTCACACTGGGCCATGGAGGGAGGGTCAGGGAGGCGGACGGGGCGGACAGAAACAGGCACGAATGCCCCACTTGTACAGGGAAGAACCCCACGGACGAGTACCTGGAGGGCATGATGAGCGAGGCCCCTGGGCCCATCAACTTCACCATGTTCCTGACCATGTTTGGGGAGAAGCTGAATGGCACGGACCCCGAGGACGTGATCCGCAACGCCTTTGCCTGCTTCGATGAGGAGGCCTCAGGTGGGCAATCTCCTGGAGGCCTGGACAGGGCAGGGCTGAGCACCTCACCTAGGGTACCCCCATGTATGCCAGTGGAGCCGGGTCATGCTAGGCTTCAGGGCCCCTGTCCCCACAGGCCAGAACAGAAACCACCCCCTGTTGGTTTTGGCACCAGAACTGTAAGAGACACACTGTTCTCTCCCCAAATGCTAAACCCAAACATCCACATTCCCCAAGGCTTCCCACTTAGTTCACCGCTAGCCCAACACTCTGTCTCTGCTTTTAGATCTCTCCAGAAACCAAACCATTCCAGGCCCTTTTGGCCAACAAGGTACAGAAACCAGCCCACATCTTCAAATCCTCAGAAGGACTTCCTGTCCCACAGCTAGTTTTTCCCAGGGACAGGCCAGAGGGAGGCTGGCAGTAGTAGTTTCAATAGTTTCTTGGGGACCACAGGCCTAAGTGTGCTCAGAACATTTTCCACTACCTTCACAGCACTGTTTTCATCCTCATTTTCCAGTTCAAGCAGGTACAGAGAGGGTAAGTAACTTACCCAAAGTCACACAGCTAGGAAGAAGGGGGATCAGCATTCAAATTCAGGCAGTAGAACTCTGGGGCTCATGCTCTTAAAGCAGGACATACCAAGCCCCCCTATACTCAGCCCCAAGTTCCCCACAGAAATACCTCGCAGACCTACTGCAGAACTCTTCCTTCTGGGGCCCTGACAAGCTCAAACTGAGCAGAGTCCAGGGCTAGGTCATTTCCTGTCCCCCTCCCCCCCACACACACCCTGCTGCAAGGTCTACAAGGACAGGTTGGGGGCTGAGGGGATAGGGGATGTTGGCTGTGTCCCAGCTTGAGTCCCTGTGTCTCGTGGCCCTTGGTCCGCCCCCAGGTTTTATCCATGAGGATCACCTTCGGGAGCTGCTCACCACCATGGGCGACCGCTTCACAGATGAGGAGGTGGACGAGATGTACCGCGAGGCACCCATTGACAAGAAAGGCAACTTCAACTATGTGGAGTTCACCCGCATTCTCAAACATGGTGCCAAGGACAAAGATGACTAGGTCCCCGGGACCCCATGTCCAGGCCCCGTCCCAGCCACCTGCTACCCACACACACAGCCTGCACCTGCTCCATGCCCACAGGACCCTCTCAGGGGAGTCTCCCTCTGAGGGGTTAGGGGCCCAGCTCCCAGTGGAGGAAACAGGCCGAGAGAGAGCAGTGCCAGGCAAGGGTCACACAGCCACTGTGAGGCAGGTGTGCCCACTGTGACCCTCCAAGAAAGTATCATCTAGATCTAGGGAGCTGGGCCAGAGGGCTGGGTCTGGGGGTACCCAGGGAAGGTCTGGAAGGAGAGCCCAGGCTCAGTTGTTGCCTGCCCATTCCCTGGCTGTCCCCACAGGAAGGGCCCTGGTGTCCGGCTCTGGGACACCACCTCACATGCACCCCATGTAGGGCATGAAAGCTCTTTCCCAGACACTGCCACAAACTCACAAACCTCACCACAGTCCCTTCTCCGAGGACAGGATGACAGAGCCCTCCCCTCTGCTCTACCCCAGAACCACCCCCATCCCACCGGGGGTATGCCCCAGACATGCTGTAGGGTAGAGCTCCTCCCAGGAGAGGCGGAGTCTCTTAATAGAAGGCTGAGCACTGCTTTGGGTCCGTGTGTCTGTGGTCTGTGAAATAAGGGACCCCCTAGACTCCAAACAACCTCCCACCCTCTCCTCCCATCCCCAGTGGCTGCCGATTCCTCCCCTCCACCCCCCACACCCAAGGTTCAGCTGAGACCAGACCAGCAGTGGGGAGTGGACAGAGGTGCTGCAGGAAATGCCCTCCTGGGAGGGAGGGGGCTGAGTGGGGAGGGCCCACAAGAATCACCATAGCAAATCCCAGTGGAGGGTTCTGGGCCTCTGTGGGGGCAGGGGTCAAGGTCATGCAGCCTTTAGGACTAGAGCCTAGATCTCCAGGGTCACCTCAGTGCTCCTAGAAAAACAGAGACTGGAAACTGAGAAGGGCATGTCCCAGTAGCTCAGAGATGGAGGTGGGAATGAGCTGGTTTAATGGATTCCTGAGGTCAGCTCCAGGCAGCCACCAGGGCTGCTCTGTACTGCACCCACCATGGCTAGAGGATCATTTTAGCCACATGACTAGCAATACAACCAGCCACAGCTTTTTACATCCCACATGCAATGAGGCGGGCAGAGCTGGGATCCCTGTTCATTTGAATGGTGGGGACACACAACAGTGCCTGGGGCTTAGGAGGAGTGGAAATATTGGCGGAGTGAACAGAGAACTAAGAAGGGCAGGGACTGCCTAAGGTCACTTAGTGTATGTGGGGCACAGGGAGGACTGGACCCCGCCTTCAGGACCCTCCATGGGGCTCAGGCCAGGACTGGACACATCCCACCTTACCCCAACAAAGAACCCCACAAAACCCCTCTTGCCTCCAAAGTGAGCCCCATGAGTCCCTGACCTTAACTCCACACAGAGCCAGCTCCAAACAAGTTCCAACTGGGCCCCAAGTACTGCCCCAGGCTCAGTCCCAACCACACCCTTGACCCTGGCCCCAGACTGTGGTCCCTGAGTGACCCAACACTGAGCTGCAAGCTGGCCCTGAGGGGAGTCCCAGAACCCTGGTCACGCAGGCCCGACACCAGGGTCACAGGTCATTCTGCAGAGCCACCATGGAACCAAAGGCCTTCGAGGAAGAAGGCTGGGACATGTGGTTCCCTAACCACATTGGTTAAGGGATAGACAAATTTATCAATGGAATGGAGAGTCCAGAAACAGACCCACACATTTGTAAAACTTTTTATATGACAAAGGTGCGAGATCAGTGCGGGAAGGAAGGACTCACTAGATGGAGCTGACACCCACTGAAAGGGCTACAATGAAAAAACTCCCAATACCAAGTACTGGTGAGGGTGAGAATGGGGAGCACTTAGAATTCTCATACACTACAGCAGGGGAATAAACAGGTACAACCACCTTGGAAAACTTTGGCTAAAGCTGAAGAGACACCTACCCTAGGGCTCAGCAATTCCTCTCCTAGGTATGTACAGAACAGAACAGAAGTGTGGACACATGCTCACCAAAAGGCAGGTGCAAGAGTGCTCACAGCAACACTACTATAGCTCCATACTAGAAACAACCCAATCTGCCCAACAGAATGGACAAAGGAACGACAATGAACCACAGCTCCATGCACAACATAGATAAATCTCACCAACATGTCAAGCAAAAAAAAACCAAGCATAGGATTCAATCGGGAGACAGAAACCACACTGGTTATTTCAACAGAGATTATTTAATATAAATAATTGCTAACTGGATATAAAGTTTAAATTAAGCAACGAAGGGTAAAAAAGAGAACACAAGCCTTTTGAAAATATGGGTGGAAGTACAAGACACAACAGAACAATTGAATAGCGTCACCCACACAAAGGAAGTGAAAATAAAATAGCTGCAAATCATTTATCTGATAAGCGACGTGTATATAAAGAACTCTCACAAACTCAATAAAGAAGGAGAAAGGATCCAATTTAAAAATGGGCAAAGGGTCCAGCCAGTGTGACTCAGTGGATGAGCGTGGAACCAGGAGGCCACCAGTTCGATTCCTGGTCAGGGCACAAGCCTGGGGTTCCGGGCTCGATCCCCAGCAGGGGGCGTGCAGAAGGGAGTCGATCAATGACTCTCATCACTGATGTTTCTATCTATCCCTCCCCTTCCTCTCTCTCTAAAAATCAATAAAAACATTTTAAAAATGGGCAAAGGATATGAAAAGACATTTCTCCAAAGAAGATACGCAACCAGCCAATAAGCAAACGCAAAGATGCTCAACAGCATCGGGCACTGGGAGTTGGGTGGCAATAACAGTAATAACAGCAGGAGATAACAAGGGTTGGGGCGGATGTGGAGAAGTCCAAACCCTCATACACTGCTGGAAGAAAAGTAAAATTGGTGCAGCTGTTTTGGAAAATAGTCTGGCAGTTCCTTAAGAGGTTAAACAGAGACTGACCACACAACCAAGCAGCCCCACTCCTAGGTGTGTAACCAAGAAACTAAAAGCGGGAGAGGAAACAAGATGGCGGTGCAGGTAACAGCTGCACCCGCCGCCTCCCGCAACCACATCGAAATTACGATTAAAATACAGAGCCACCGTCACTCAGAACCTCCTGAAATCTGGCTCCAGGGCTGGGAAGAGACGTCCCCACACCTTCGGGCTGTGAAAACCATCAGGGACTGTCCCTGAGGGTCACGGAGGCTGCGGGAGCCCCAGCAGCTCCTCTCAAAGGGCAGCGCACAGACTCACTCGGACGCTCCCTCTGAGCCCAGCGCCGGGCAGCAGCCTGAAAGGACCCGGGACACTCGGGGGGAACTAACCTGCCTGGAATCCGGGCGAGACGTGGAGGGCGGCTTCCTCCAAGGCAGAAGGGCTGGCGGAGGCCATGGCTCTTTTGGCGAGTCCTCCCCGCACACAGCCCGCAGGCAGCACCTCGCACCTTTGGCCCCGCCCCGTGATTCCCGGAGGCCCTGCCCCTCCCCACCTGCAG